ACGCTTACATTCCTTCCGAAAAGTCTTCAACCAATTTTGTCAAGCCCGTGAATATTCATATTTCAGATGATTCTGAATCATGAGTCTAAATTTTTTGAAGGGATGATCACTTGAAAAGTTGAACTCGAAATTTTCTTCAGTCACTGAAATCCCCAGGTAAATCAAAGCTGAGAGATTCATTCAAGGCGTGACTAAAGTTTCCCGACGATTTAATGCAACTACTGACAGGTAAAGAAATAAAAAAGAAATTTAAAAATTCAAACCGGCCTTTTCCAATTTGACTGCATAATTAACACCAGGAAAAAAAATTCAATTTTCCTTCCATCCCTCAACTGACGTAAATTGAGTGATCAACTCGCCTCATCGTGATGCACTCATTCCTGGATAAGCCACATATACCTTTCTCCCTTAGATCAATCTAAAAAATAAAAAAAAAACAAAGCAAAATTTATCGCGCCATTCCCCACTGCAATGAAATTTTTTCCCTGTGACCTTGAAATAACTCAACTCAATGGCAAATAAAAAAAGTGGAAAACCAACAAAATAATGCGCTTAGCAATGAAGTAATAGATTACGGAGAACGCGCTTTGAAGTGGATAGGGCTGATGATTCTTCACACGAGTGTAAAAAGAATCAGACGACGATAGGGACACGCAATTCCTTAACCAGATGTTGATGCTACTGTGTAGATGCCGCGTGACGTCCCTTGCATAACGCCCCGAGGAAATTCCACGCTAGGCCACCACGTTGAAGGAATATGTGTGTACACATACGGTGAGTGAAGAGTGCAACTTGAAGGAGTGAGAGGTGTGGATCGCCTCAAGTTCTCCACTTCTCCTTGTTGTGAACGTGCCTTATAACATATGGGGGTTTGTATATAGCGAGAAGGGGCAACAGTGAACGTCAGGCACGCGCGTTCGCGTGTACAAGTTGCGCGCGCCGGTTTCACCAGAAACTATGCCTCGCGCATCCTCTCCTCATTTTGATATTTACACACTGGCTATAGCCACTCAACTTTACCTCATTTCCCTATCTAATTCACAGCAATCTGTCTACTGCTAATCTCACCACTCTTCTGTATCCATTTTTTTTTAATTCCATAATAATTTTCTGGTTTTATCGACACGGTGGGACTGATTAGCAGCTGAAGATCCTTATCAGCGCCTGCGATAGACCCGCGAGGGGCTGTAAGAGCATTGGTGAGATCTTATGAAATCAGGGGTAAAATATGAATTTTAAGGGAAATCAGCAATCATTGTGTCATGGTGTTGGATGATGAATTATTCTTTGGTGATTGATAGAATTTTTTTGGTCAGTACTCGCGCCTTTCACATCGGTAATAGATGCTTAACATCAATTTGTTTCTCTTGATGAAAAATTTCATGCATGCAACTCAGTTTTTCGCTCAGTGCTGGGAATCCCGCAATTGGTGAAAATACTTCCATCAGCATTTCTGGAGAAAATCGTTGCAAAGAAACCAAGAAGGGTTTGATAATCCCAGAAAACTAAATCGAACAAGGCGAATTTGTGAAAATTACACGTTTGAAGACCTTGTTAAAGTTTTAAGAAGAAATTTTTTTTTTAATCCCCAGTAGTTTTTCTCTAAAGCAGGTTTCCATAGGCTATCGACTGCATCCGCTTACCCTCTCCCCACCCTCATCCTCACCTTCTTCATCTGCAGATTCTTACTGATTATTCCTTACGTTTCACGAGGCCGGTTGAGGTAAGCCCACAGCAGCATTCATAATCATTTTCTTCCCACGTGGAAATATAGATA